ATTTTTTTTAAATAAAATTTTTAATTTAAATTTTATGAATAAAAAAATAAACACTTAAAAAGTTTTTTTTATATAAGGTCTGACCCAACTTAATTAACATCTAATATAATTTTTGAATATTGAAAATTAGTATCAAAAAATTTGGTATTAATAATGTAATATAAATTAAATTATTTAAAATATTAAAAATTAAATTTTATATTATTTAATAATTAATTTTTTAAATCTATAATATTATATATATCAATTACCGTTTTATAAATTACTTAAATGTCTTTTAATTTAATTTTATTTTATTTTTTAAAAATATTTAAATAATTGAATAAAATAAATTGCATTCAATTCATATAGTAAAAGAACATTTTATTAATAATATATAGTACATTACATTATTAATTTTGCATTTTTATCTTAAATTTTTGTCCACTTTATTATTACTCATTTTTTATATATATTTTTACCATCTCCCACTAGTTGCCCCCCAAAAAAAAAAGTGCCCTTTGATGAATACACTTAAACTCAAGGGCATATTCTCAGTGTAATGTGGTATTCAAACTCATTTGGTTCTTTTGGATAGGGACTAGGGAATAAAATATCAAATTGATGATTCAATGAACTGGATTTAGTTTGGTCATATTGGAATTTTGATAGCGGAGCCATTTTGGTATATGAAATCATTTGCAGAAATCTTTGTAGTTACTGCCGGTCAGGTTGGTTTTCCTTGTTATAGTCAAATGAGCAGACAGGTAGATCAGAATGGGTGAACTGTCACACTCAGTGTAATGTGGTATTTCATTTTTTTTTTTTTTTTCCGAACTCAGAAGTGAACTGTCCTTTAGGGTCTTTTGTTAGAAAGCTAAGTAGTTAACATTATTTAAAAAGTTTTTATTAAAAAAATATTATATAAAACGTTAATAGAGATTATATATCTAATTAATAAGTTTGATAAAATTTTGTTAATTTGTTAATTTTTTTTATTTGATAAAAAATTAGTATATGAAAAATTAATAGGAAAGATTTCAAGGGAGTCCAACGTATGAAAAGCCAGAATGAAGTTTTTTTTTTTTTAAATATATATATAAAAGAAGAAAAATTTACAAATTAAAAATTATGTTAAGAAAATAAAAGTTAAAAATATCACTTTTATTTTTATATAATATTTAATATAAAAATACATAAATAACCTTATAACAAAAAAAAAATTTAAGTTTAAAAATCTAACCTAACAATCGCTTAGAAAGGTGAAAAAAATGACACTAATAGTAATAATAATGACACGAAAGGCACTACATTATTTGTAGAATTAATTAACAACAGCCAATTAGCACTACAGTATTTTTGTAACCTTGGGTTTGTTCATTGGCAGATACACAGAATTATTCTGCATGCGACAATTTGTAAACCCAATCTCAAGATGTTTAAGGGTAATAATTAAAGATAATATGGAATGCCAGACATATTTATCAATTTGTATAAAATAAGATATGGACCAACGATCTATTGACTCGAGTGGAAGCATTTCGATTTTTTTTTAAAATAAAATATCGAATTTAAGTTTTATGAATAAATAAATAGACATCGAGAGAATTTTTTTTTATAAAATTTAATGTAACTCAATTTTAAATTAATTAAAATCTAATGTAGTTATTAATATAAGAAGATTAAAAAAAAAAAAAAAAAAAAAAGAAAGAAAGCTATGGGATTTCCCATCAAGAATCAGATATGGGATTATCTCACATTCAAAAACGTTTGTTAACATGCAAATTTTGCAGCGACATGGCGAAGCCCACACTATGACACTATTAGAATTTCCATTAATTTGGGCATATGGAACCGAAGAGGCATCTAAGGCTAATTTGTAAGTGGTAGATAATATCGACTGATCCATGCAAACTATGAAATTATCTAGCTTTCCCTTCTTCTTCTTTTTTTTTTGGCTAAATGGAGAGTTTGTTATTTGATGTGCAGGGATTTAAACATCTTTTATCTTCACACTAAATCAAGATTTTTGTATTAATGAGTATCAATTTAATTAAGTTCTTATTGAGAATATACTATTTAGTATCCAGCTTATGGAGTAAAAATTAATGAAAATTTATCACGTTTTGGCTTCCTTTAATGTAGAACAAACTCATTCAGCAATTAGACAAAAAATTGTTTGATTTAAATGTGGTAATGAAGACGATTGTGAATAGTTGATAGTTGTAGAAGATGGATATTAGCTCATAATTGAAACCTATGTTAGTAATTTTCACATAAGTTGTCATTATTATTATTATTTTACCGAATGAGTTAAATGAATAAGTTGGTTAAACCTAATAAAATTATGTAATCTAAATGGGTATAGGTTCTATTATAGATTTATATAATGGGATATAAATAAGTGTACAATGTGAAATTAAAGGTGGACTGTTTAATAGGATACTAAATTATGAAATGTGCCTTGATTAGACAATTGTTATAGAAATGAGAGTGGATTCATACATGAAGGTTCATGAATAATTATCCTAGAAGAACATAAGGGACTTTCCACAACTAAGGTCAAAATATTAGTTTGTTGATTAAAATAAAAGAGAAATATAAAGGAAAAGAAAAATAGTGCATGACAGGAAAACTAAATTGCAGAGAAGAAGTGTGATGTTGCCATGTGAAAGCATGTAAGTGTAAAAAATGAAAGGATGAAATATAAAACTAACTTAAAGAAAGTTAGGAAGACGAATTTAGAGCAAAGTATAGCAAACTGAATTGCAAGAAATAAAATACACCAGTGAAGATGTTCAAAACAAAATAACAAATATTAGAGTTAAAGCTGGTGGCAGTATAGAGTTAAAGACTAAACTAAGAAAACTGTTTGAGAAAGTTAAATCTAAACTGAATTGCAGGAAATGAAATACACCAGTGAAGATGTTCAAAATAAAATAACAAACATTAGAGTTAAAGCTGGTGGCAGTACAGAGTTAAAGACTAAACTAAGAAAATTGTTTGAGAAAGTTAAATCTAAACTAAGACATTGCTTGTGAAATTGAAATGCAGATAGTGTTAAACTAATTGTGTGAGAGGTAGGTCTCACTTGGTTGATCTCATCATCGAGTATTTATAGTCCCTTAGTAGCATGGTGGAGTTATGCTGACAACACCTTGGAAACCAATAACAACATGAAATTTGCAACAAACTAACTCCTTGATATTGTTGATTATGCTTATGGAAGTATGCAACTACTAAGCCACTTTGTCAATGATGTGGCAACAAACATTTATGTTGATTCTGGAAAAAAAAAAATCAATCATTGAGCTTGACTCGGTTAATTAGATCATCACATGGCAATTGTTGATAGTGCATTTTGACTCCTTCAAATTCAAAACCAATAAGACACGTGGCTCTTTCTAATTAATTTGCGAAAATTGGTGTAAACAAATTATATTTATTTTATAGATTTTAAATGGTATTCTAAATTATGATGATCTTTGATAACATTCTAAGTTTACATATTGATCAAAAGATTAAGGTATGCATTTATTAATTTTGTATATTATATATCATGATTGGTATAATTTGGTGGTTTAGAATCTTTTTATGAGATTAATTATTTAAGTGAATTTCAACAACCTATTGTAGTTTGCAAATTGTTGTTTGGTTACATATTTGAAAATAAGAATAATGTGAAGAAAAATGTTAACAAAAAATGATATATTAAATTAGGTATTTTGTAGACATGGAGTATAAATCGCAGTGACATGGCGGAAGGTGATGGAAAATTCGCCAACAATCGCAAATTGCCCAACGTCCCCCACATTCCCATTTACAATCATAAAAATAAGTAAAGAATGGGTCATCAAGTTAATGCTTCAGGGCATATGCTTGGAAGATACTCCCTCCACAACCCTTGCCCGCCTTGTTAAATTTCCTTTATAGCACAGAAACCTCTGTCTCCATCATTCTCTTTGAGAAAATCATCAAAGCTCTCACTTACTAATTCCGGCCAGCGTGTCTGTCATGGCGTCAGGGACAACGTGCCCCCGCAGGGAGACCAAGGGTGATGAAGAGGATGACAAGGAGGAGCACATGATGCAGAATCATGACCGATGAAGTAGTTTGTCACTCTTGATTAATCGTTCGGGCAACTAAGGAACCTTTGGCAGTTCATCTCTAGAATGAGATCCTTTGACATCCTCAAGCGTATTACAGTTGAGACGTTTTTGTTCTTTGTTTGGTGATGATTGAGATTGAGTGAAAACACTGTTGTTGTTATCACTTATCAATAGAGCTTCTCTCTGTTTTTCATCGTTCAACTTCTTTTTTTTTTAACAATTTTCTACTACTTTATGTTCGCCATAGCAGCTTCCAAAAAACACTAGTATATTACCTTTCGACCAATAGGTTAAAATTTTTATCCATGGAAAACAGAGAAAAGAATTGCAGGGCTCATACGGTTTGAAGTTTTGAACCAGCAACAGCTTAACCAGATTGCACCAACTACAAAACCTTATTTTCAGATTGAGGCCAAGAGTTCAAAATTTTCCACTGTAACCAGAGGCCGAACTAGGATTCAATGACGGGCACGGGGGCTTATTATTTATCTTCAAATAAGTTATTTCTATAGTCTCAAGAATTAAGACAGCTATGCTTTAACATTTGCTTGATTTTTCGGAGTTAGGATAAGGCTCTTGTCTAATCCCCACCTAACAAAGGTCCCCCCGCCTACGAGTGTCACTAAACAATCAGAATAGTTGATTGCACATGAGCAGACAGTGCAATAACCAGTAGCTCAGCAACTTGTCTTCAAAAGTGGAGAAAATAGCAAATCAATACTGTTGACAGGCATAGAAAGAATTTTGGATGATTGATAAAACTCGCATCTTTTTTGCAGCATGAGCAGCAGTTCCAATCTGTTTCGACCTTGATTTGATCAATTAAGAAATATTGTTGGACGAAAACAGATTGATTCAGCATTATATAGGCCTCAAATACATCGATACCGATTGAGAAACCAATACTTCACTGAAAAACTGTAACTCCAATTGATTACCAGAATGCAAGTTCCAACAATTCAAAATCTCAAGCGACGTAATTAAAACGATACTAAAAACATCTCAAAATCAAAATACATAACTTGAATCAGAAGAAGCATTTTACGAGCTTTGTTGGCAAGCAAAATTTCTAAAATGACAACTGTTGGAAATCTGTCTCAGTAAAAGAAGCCGAGTACTTTTCCACCCACATTCTTTCTTCTAGCTTCTTCGTGGTCCATGATACCAGCAGATGTTGTCAGCACAATATACCCAAACTGTAACCAGTAAACACAAAGCTTATTACTCTCATTTCAACTGAATCAACTTACATTGGAAACTGGAAACAAGACATATTGCCTAATTAACCATGCCTCCACCTACTTCATTGCAATACAGGTGCAGGAGAGTTTTTGTATACCTACTTGTAAAGCTGCACAAGGGTTTTGATACCCCTCGTATCCATTTTAATAAATTCATTAATTACTGACCCAAAAAAAAAAAAGAGAAAAAAAGAAAAAAAAGAAACAATGCCTTCACCTACTTCATTGCAACCAAATTCCATTCCTCAATTTCAAGCATTAACAAGACAAAATATGAAGCAGCTTCCACAGCTTACCTGTCTTGAAGGAAGAAGTCTAGCAGTCCAACCTTCAATCTCTTTCACCCCAACATCAAAACGAGGGCTAATCACTCCACACTTGTTCAGCCTTCCATTCAATTCAACCACAATTTTTCCAGCTCTGTGATCATCAACATACTCAAACTCTCCAATATAACCTACATGACCAATCATAAGAAAAGAGGATATTCAGATATTAATACAGTTTTAGCTAAAGCTTGTATAGAAAGGGATAACAGGCAAACCATGTTTCTGCATGACCAAAAGGAACTTGATAATCACTTTTGAAGATGGCCTGATCATGACTTGTCTTTTACCCCTTTTCTCCGCATTGTACATGCTCTTGAGGGCATCATTCAAGACACTAACCCTCACCATTGCTTCAAACGCAAGCTGCTACTGATTTACAGAACAGAAATCATTAATATTGATTAACAAAAAAAAAACAAAAAATTCCTAAAAAAATCATATCAACACAATATCCCCTTTCCATGAGCATTACTTACTACAATAGCGATTTCCAGTAATAATGCCAATTGGCTCATTATCCTTTTTTAAACACATAAAATGCATAAATTGATAGTCAAATATAACCCATTTGACAAAGAAAACCCATCTCAGCACTACAACCTTGTAGTCAGAAAACAGTATAACGTAACAAATCCTACTCATGGTCTAATATGTGTGCCATAAAATAAACATTTCATGTATTATATGTATTTAATCTCTCCATACGACAAAGAATAAGACAATTCCAATACAAAGCCAGGGGTTCATTCAAAACAACACAGACAGTTACAGTTGCTAAATGAATGGTGCAAATATGTTAGTGTGCGTGCAAGATTAGATATCTTTCAGCCATAATAGCTTTGATGTTCGCTGATCGAGTCAAGGAACGTATAAGAAAGACTCGATGAGAAGAAATTGACGAGATTCAAACTTATATGCAGAACGAAACACACCAGAAAGAGAGATTCAATCCGATCTAGCGAATGATTTGCGCAGTTGAGAGGTGAAGTCTTTTACCTGAAAGCAGAGATTGCGGCTGCTCGGCGTGGGCGGTGAAGTGCGACGAGCGGAGGGAAAGCACAAGAACTAGGGTTCTTGGTTTTTAGTTCTTGAGGGGGCGTTGAAATCAGCTTTCAATAAGACTTCTTTTTGGGCCAGCCCAATGGCTCCTTAGTTTTGAGTAAGGTTGCACATGATGTACAGGCCCGTTAAACAATGTACTTCTTTCACCATTGAGCGGCCCAATAGAAGATTCCCAACCCAGAGTAACAGGGAAAAACTGTAAAAGCAACCCATCTCGACGTCTCCCGCTAGATGATGTCATTAAACTTCGTGCCACGTTACCTATCCGTGTCAATCCTGAAGTCAAAGGTCTGAAACTCCATCTACACCGTTATTTCGGTCCTCCCGCCGGCAAAATCCAATGATCCAGAGATTGCCAACTCAGCGAACTGCGTCATCCCGTAAAAAATCCAAAAGCCCGAGACAGATCTCACCCGTCGATTTCCACTTTCTCGCTAAACTAAATCCAACGGTCTATATTAGCCACGTCATCGATCCGTGTGAAACCAGAAGTACCAATTGTTTCTCTTCTCTCTTCTATATAATGGACTACGACAACTTCTCGTTTTCTCACGAATACTACTTGGAAGTATATAGCCCCGTGTATTTCCTTTTTCAGAAATAAAAGCAAAAATGGCACCAAAGGCAGAGAAGAAACCGGCGGAGAAAAAGCCCGCGGAAGAGAAGAAAACTGTAGCAGAGAAGGCTCCGGCTGAGAAGAAGCCGAAGGCCGGCAAGAAGTTGCCGAAAGAGGGAGGCGCCGCTGGTTCTGACAAAAAGAGGAAGCGGGTAAAGAAGAGCACCGAGACCTACAAGATCTACATCTTCAAGGTCTTGAAGCAGGTCCATCCTGATATCGGGATCTCGAGCAAGGCCATGGGGATCATGAACAGTTTCATCAATGATATCTTCGAGAAGCTTGCTCAGGAGGCGTCCAGGCTCGCGAGGTACAACAAGAAGCCGACGATTACATCTCGGGAGATCCAGACTGCCGTGAGGCTTGTACTCCCTGGAGAGCTTGCGAAGCACGCCGTATCTGAGGGGACCAAGGCCGTGACGAAGTTCACTTCTTCTTAAGTAGCTGTTGATTGGATTAGGATTAGCCTTGTGATTGTGTAGTTTAAGGTTAGGGTTTTAGTAGACTCTTATCAATTTGTGGATTCTACGTGGTTATTTCTTTTTTTAGAATCTCAAAAATTGGTTTGTATGTGAAGATCTGCTTGATATGGATGTGAACTATGCTAGCAATCCATGGAATTGAATAGTATTCTCAATTACTCATTCTATGTCCCAAGTTACGAATTGTTGTGGAGAATTGATCAATCATCTTAGCAGTGAAACCGCAATGGTACCATAACTGAAAACCCACTGCAAGGCTCCACCCATTGGCGCCGAGTAGGTTGGCAGGACATACAAAAGGTCTATATTTCAACCACTCGATCATAATCAAAGGTCCTTTCTGAGGACTAATCCTGGTTTCTGGTTGGATTTTAGCTTTGGAATGGTGAAGAGACTTTGTCAGCTGTAAATACCCAATTCCCCTTACCGTTGTCAAAGGTCTATTGGTTAAATTACAGATGCTGATTTCTTGATATGTTGTAAATGTTTAACCCACGTTGCCCACTGAATAACCATTAAGAAGTAACAACCCCTTCACTTGTTTCTTCCCTTTTAACTTCATAATTCTTCCGCCATCCAACTATGAATTTTAATCTCTTTTTCGGATCGGGAATCCATCAAAAAGCCTGTTCGATATTGGGTAATAAATTCATCTAGAAATCTGGGTATAATGTCAATCAGCTCTTATTTATTCATAACAATTCTGGTTTTATGTAATTTTTAGCCATAGTAATATATACTCTGTTGAGTATGAATTTTCTTTTCTTTTTAAAGGGTTTTTCCATGATATGTTCTTAAGAGTACAATTGTTACATTTTTTTTCACTAATTTACATAAAACTTAAAAAAGTAAATTTTATTTTTAACATCAATATCATATAAAATAATTAATTAAACACTGATAAAAGTAAAATTAAATTTTTAATTGTGAAAACGTGTCGTTACCAGGTTGAGATGATAAAAATTTTGTTCTTGGTAAAGGTCAGATTGTGATAAATAAGTGATAACAATTCTACTAGTGTCTATATCTTGTTTTACAACTACTTGGCTAGTTGGATTATATAAGGGCTCAAATGCGTCTTCTCTGTTTCATCTCTGTTCTTGCATCCACTTCTTTCTTTTTCACTATCTTCCATTGTTTGTGAACAGCCACAAAATCTTGCAGAAATCTTTGATCAAGGATGGCAAGGCTTTTCATTAGATTAGATACTACTCCAGAGGCAACTTTCTATTGCTGCAAAAGATGCATAAGAAACCACATCGCAAGGGGCAGCGACTACATTAGTAGAGTATGTATCTTTTCTCAGTATAAAATCTTCACTCTTGATGTTTTTCTTGAATAATGCTTTTGCCATCAAGAAGGGTGGTGATTCCTGTATCCCATTCTATATATGAAACAGAGCATGTCAGCCTTTCCTGCATCCCTTCTCTTCTTTCATAATCCAACATCATTGCAATGCAAACAAATGTTATCCAAAATATGTAAAGATTCTGAACAATTTGTCGGTCCTGAAGCTTGATTGATGCCAGATAAAAGGAAAGAAAGGAGTTTCCTTTCTTTCCTTGGTAAAAAAGATCACATGGCCTTAGACAGAAAACTATAGATGGTTAGCAAACATTCCTCCCATTACAGTGCTGAGAAAAAACCGCTATTCTGTAGGGAAATTGAGTGATCTAACTTTTGGTTAATCTATCTTTCAGGATGCTTCAAGAGCCTTGTTCAAAGACGTGTAAGATATTCCATTTGATATTTTTGGCTAATATTCAAGAACTCTAGTCTAACTGCTTTGACGACCATGACTGAGCATGCTTTTGATATGCAGGGTCAATGTTAAAACCGCAAACCCCAAAGATTATTGGCAGAAGGAAGGCTGTACCCTGTCAAATGTGTTCTGTCTGCATTGTGATGAGGACTTGGGCTTTACAATTGTAAGTTCATTTGCAGTGTCTAAGTTCCCTTGATATTTGCTCAAGCAGATTTAAATCTTCTAATCAAGAAAATCCCACCATTTTCAGGTTTCATCACCCCTTAATAAAGACATAGAAGGAAGAGTTGTACTCAATCTGTAAGTATTTCTTTCAACCGAATAGAACATATAGTGCAGCTGCAATAAAAACTTAACTTGGTTTTGGACTCATAAATCTGGATTGTTGATCAAAGGAATGGCCTGGTGTTTTGGAACACTAAGCCCTATAATCCACATCTCGTGCTGCCAGATGCAAAGAGCAAAAACTTATCTGAATTTGATTACACTACAGTTCTTTATTTCTATGTCTGCCGTAAATGCTATGCACATATTGCCAGCAGTGAAGAATTCATTGCGAAAGTAAACAGCTCTCTCTCCCTCTCTCTGTGTCTTTATCTTCGTGCAATAAAACAGCATAATGTTTGGATGATCTAACTGTATACTTAATCTTCAATCCATCTTTCAGAGAGATAACTTGGCCTGGTTCAAGGATGCGTAAGAAAGTCCTCATCTCGAGTTGTATTGAGTTGAATTCCAGTTAGTTTACTTACCTTTTGATTGATCACTTCATTAACGTGTAGTGTAAACTGGCGAACCAAAGACTCAGAACCTTATTGCGAGAATCGGAGTGCCTCCTATACATACACAATGGCAAACGTATACTGTACCAAATGCAGCTCATTTTTGGGCAGGAGAATTGTAAGTTTGTCAAAAGTACTAATGTTTTTATGTAAGATCAAAACTTCTAGTTTCTAACTGAATGCTACAATGTTTAGGTCGGTTTGAAATCTCCAGACTCACCTCTCAAAGAAGGAAACATGGTGCTAAAGTTGTAAGTATTTTTCTGACATACAAGGTAAGATACTTGAATATAACTTTTCCCTTGGTTTTGATTTCATGATTCTGGATGAAGGGATGTACTGCGGTATTGGAATGGATATACCATGTGTGATGCAGCCGACGACCTAACTCAACCTGCGGACAACGAAGAGAGCCTTATATTTTCTTAGAATGATACTTCTATGAAATCTGAATTGCAAGAACTGAGAGGATGAGCAGGGGAAAATGGATGTTGTTGTTAGGACTAAGAACACAGGAAATGTGCATTGTCAATGTTAGAATTGAGATGGTTAGTAGAGGAATTGCAATATTTGCCATGGTATATATGGAGTATTGAAATTGTAACAAAGAATACCGTTGAGGCTCTAAGAAAAGGGAAGCAAATAATTACCTCTAGTTCTATTTTTTTGGTCAGATTCCTTCTAGTTCTATTCTTATTTCCAATTCATGAGATAAACATTATTTGTTTATTATTATTATTATTTTACCATACCAGGAACTTATTTTTTATTTAATTATAATAAATGAGAGTTTATTTTATAATTTAAATAATATCATATTATAAAATAAAAATCATTAAATGAAGAGGGTCTCAATATTAGAGAGCCTAATTCTTATTAATTGATTAATGTTGTATAATATAATATAATTGAAATTGTATAATATTTTTTTATTATAAATTTGTTTTATTTTGAAAAAGAAAATTATTTTCTTACCCTCTAATTTGGCATTCAAAACACACGTCGAAAGCCAGGCCTTCCGTTTTCTGGGCTCAACTTAATGAAACCTACACGCATCGTTTAGCCTTTTTTACCCGACTAGCAACGGTGATTTGCCTTTTATAATGTGTGCTTCCCTTCCTGTCCACATTTATGCCATCGTCGACGCGAAGAGAAGTACTACAGCCGGTAGACGGCAAGCAAAGTCTAGTTCTCACCATAACTGTGTCTGAATTCGTCTTTCTTTATCATTATGATTTCTTTCTCAAAAGTGATTCTGATTCTTAATCTCTCATCATCGGCATAGATTATCCAGCATGTTACTAATTAATCCGAAGGAATGATTGTTGGCGTATGAGTGTTGCTATTTCTGTTACATAAACCCATTATAATTAGCTACAAACAGTTCATTGGAATTTTTTTATTAGATAATGGTGAAATTTATTTTTCCTTGTGATCTTTCATGAGATAAAACACTAAAATCGATCATTCCCTCATTATTGAACTTCTCCATAATGATAATGCAATTAGAGTAATAAAGGCATGGTTACTAGTATTGCATTGTTTATTTTCCATCTAGATTCAGTTGACAATCAGTTGAATGAATTTGTTTGAAATTTCATATCTCAACTCTCTCTTACATACTTTTGATCTTGACATCCTAAGGAAAGATGATCTTTGTGCGAAAATTATACTTGTAAGTTTTAATATAAAATTTATATTTAATTTAAAATTAATTGATAATAAATAAATAATTCTGTTTATATTTAATTCACATACTTTTTCATTATACATTCAACACTTTGTAAAACCTGCTCAAAGACAAACAAAAACATTTGAAAGTGTAAGTTGTGTGACATGAGCCAAGGTTGGAATATGCAGAAACAAGCTGTTTCACTTTCATTTTAACCATTAAAATTACCTGACATAGGGATTTCCAGTGTTTTCATTTCCCTTACTAATCCCTGCCCACTAACCAAAACAAGCTCCTAAAAACCCAAAATCACATACAATACCCTAATAAACAAACTATATCCACAGCAATTAGGCTTTCTTTGGAGATTTTCCTGCTTTAGCAGGAGATGTGGGTTCCTTAGTGGGCTTCTCGGACTTCTTGGGCAACAGAACAGGGTTGATGTTAGGAAGCACACCCCCACTAGCAATGGTGACCCCAGCAAGCAGCTTTCCAAGTTCCTCATCATTTCTAATGGCAAGTAATACATGTCGTGGAATGATCCTGTTCTTCTTGTTGTCCCTTGCTGCATTCCCAGCCAACTCGAGAACCTGCACGAATTCAACACCATTTATCCTGTTTGGTTACCAAGAAAATGAACGGAAAAAATAGATCAAATTTCAAAGAGAGATAGTTACCTCAGCAGCTAAGTACTCAAGCACAGCGGCCATGTAAACTGGCGCTCCAGTGCCGACTCTCTGTGCATACCTTCCCTTCTTCAAGTATCGCCCGATCCTTCCAACGGGGAACTGAAGTCCGGCTTTCACTGATCTTGACACTGGCTTCTTCTTCGGACCGCCTCCTTTCCTTCCTCCAGCTCCCTTTTTAACTTTCCCACCGGTATCCATCGCTACAAATTCGAACAGATTCAATAAAAAATCACTTCGGACGCCGGAGGATGTAGACGAGTTATCGGAAACTCAGAACGCTATTTGAATTTAAAAAAGAAACAACTATGCAGATGGAGGATGGTTTGTCCGCCTTTTTATTTTGCCTTGGTGGGGCTTTTGTCGCTTTTCAGATTAGAGTCGTACAAAGGAAGGATGGTGCGTAATGATAACCGTTGATGGGGTGTTCATCGACGGCTGAGGGCTGTTTTAGTGGCGATCCGTGTGGTCGAAAACTGACCAATGATTTGCGAGCTGGACTGTTCGATATTTGTGATCTATTGGGCGCCATTTCCAAATATTTTCAATTTCCCGCTTTTATTTTCAAAATTTAATAAACATAATGATGTTTTTAATTAGGAAAAAAAAAAAAAGAAAAAAAGGAGCAAGTCGACCTTAAAAAAGACTTGCAGAACCACCTTATTTAAACGACAACATTTCAATAAAAATGAGGAATTTAAACCTCTTCAAGTTAGACTGTCATGCAATCCCCTTCCCCACTTCTCCCACCCTTGGCCAGTGCTCATGGCCACCAGAACCATCATAGAACATCTAACATAGTTGATTATATCATTCCATTAGTTTTCCTATCAAAATCATTGAATCCTGACCCAAGCCAACTATACATGGACTTAAGGTTTTTTTTTTTTAATATATATATATATTTTTTCAAGTTTGAGGGAAATAGAGATAGTGATGGCAATTTATC